TATCCACCTCCTTGTCCTCATGAAACCAGCTATTCCGCAAGGCTATTCCAGGTTCAGATATCAGTCTCACCTGTAAAGAACATCAGCTAAATTTAGCAACCATACCATGGATATCGACAGCCCGCCCAGCGCTGTTATCTGGTGTCACCAGAATTTGAATAGCATTGTTTTCACTTGACCACAAAAGGAACACTACAGTAACTCTACACCACACAAATGTGTGTGAATGTGCACTTGAGGTGAACGTTGATTGAATCTCACCTGTTTACGAATCCAAATATGTGACATGACTGGACATATGTTTTAACTGAGATAGTGATTATTGAGAAGAATGATCAACAAGGGAATGAAGCAAGTCTGTGACATGTCTTTTTCTTACATGACTCTGTAGGGTATTTGTGTTTTTTGCATCACTTAAAGCTTTCCTCACAAAGTCAGATGAAAAGTTATTCTTGCCTTACAAGGTCTTTTCATGATGAACTGTAATATTAATTATATGAAGCACACATCTAGGACTGTAATGTTGTCACAAAAAGAGAAAATTGTTAATACATGCTTCATCTTAACAGTCGCTGCAACTTTTTGCTACTTTAACTAACAAAAAGTCCCCAGTTCAGAACTGACAGAAACCACGTGTATTCATGCTGCTGAAAATGAAAAAAGAAAACTGTTCAAACTATTATGAGACGTAGCATTAGGAAAGGCTACAAGCTTGACTTATATTGCATTTCTAAAGACTTGAGAAAATGCTGCATATTTCTTGGAGCATACGCATAAGAAACAACATTATCTTGGGATCTTGCATAAACAGCAGGGGTCTAATGTCTGCAATGAGCCGGTTCCTGTGTAAACAAGGCAGAACAGATATGCTAAAAACAACAGCATGGTGAGGAAACAACAACAAATACAGCAGCTCGTTCCCACACGCTCACATCAGTGCAGCAAATGACAAAGGGGCTTTCACAAAAAACAGAAATAAAGTCAGGGTCACATGACATTCACACAGAAAAACTCAACTGTCACCTGAGCATTTCCTCATATAACCACACACTAAGTTATGAAGCAACAAATAATAAAAAAAAAAAGTTCAATCCTACATCATCTCCAGTGTCCAACACACTCTTACGGCTGAAGATGTAGTTGTAACTGAGCCATGTTACAAGGCTGTTTATGCATTTTGAGTGTTTCAGTTGTGTGCACTTTCATATCCCCGGCCTCAACGTGCTCGCAGCGTTCTCCAGGACTCCTCTCACCCTGCTCACAAACTGTTTGACCTCCTGCCCTCTGGGAGGTGCTTTAGGAGCCTCCGGACCAAAACCAGGAGACTCAGAAAAAGCTTCCTCCCCACAGCTGTCTCCTTACTGAACTCTGTCCCCCGTTGACCCCCCCACTGCCTTCCTCTATACCACTACACACACACCTCACACCTTCTCGTCTCTCCTCCCAGGACTAATACAGTACTCTTCTGTTACCTGCAACACTGAAGTGATCTGTTAATTTGCACATACTCTACTCAGAGAACACAGGTCTGTATTCATTTGCACACTGTTCATATGCTGATACTGTACATTTATCTTTATATTATTTAATCCATTGAACTGTTGACTCATGTAACTTTTCTTATTTTACACCATTTCACCCCATTGCACTCGTGTTTTATAAGCTTAATGTACTTTATCCATTACTTGTAATTTAAATTCATAAAGTCTGTTGTATATTACCTTACATATCTTACTGTAAATATCATCGGTAAATTAGTTCTGACTGATCTGTAGATACTCACACTCTGCACTGCTGTCATCGCACTTCTAGTTAGATGCTGTTAGGTATTTTTAGTCAGATAGAAATTGGATAGATACTTTATGTATTAGAAATGTTTAGTGGAGATAGGATGTCTAGTTAGACTGTTAAATGCTTAGGCATGCTTATGAGTTTCTACAGGGTACATCTGGTCAAGGATAACTAGAGAGAAGAGTTGATGACTGTCAGCAGACAGGGTGTTTAATATTATTATTACGACGTGTATAACTGTAGCCTTAGCCATAATATGTTCTTATGTTTAAGTCACTATGGGGCTAGCCCAGCCGAGGGGATATAATGTGGTGGGTTCAGGGTCTTTCATCTTACATCTGCCTGTGAGCAGGTTGGAGGTGCAAGATACCTGAGTGTGTAATGTTAATTTTACCTGTGATCCTTTGAATAAATCAGCACTGTTTTGAAGTTGCTTGGACTGTCTCATCTCTCAGAGTTAGTATGGTAAAAAGTACCAGGTACAACAATGCTAAACTGCATTTCATTGCCTTGTACTTGTACATGTGTAATGACAATAAAATTGAATCTAATCTAATGCAAAGTTGGATACTGACGGCCCAGACACCGCACAGGACATCCTGTTTCTGGAGTACACTGTTGAATAGCCAATGCTGCCAATTCCCTTAGGTTTCAAACGTAGGCTGCATGGTATTTATTTACTGCGGCAAAGCTAGCATTTCTTGTGTGTTTATGTGACTTATTCTCCAAAAGAGGAATGCAACCATCTTTCTCATACTCATGCACATCCCCAACCCCATTCTATCTACAGTAATGGCCTCAAAGTATTTGTTACCACGTTGATCATACATAAGGTGGAAACATGAATTAATCTGTCTGTAAATTACACACACACACAAAGCTCTAAACAAACCTGAAAATGTGGCCCCTGAAAGCCAGACCGCTTTAAGATGCTTCAGTTCACAGAGGTTTCTAGTGCACACTGCAACATCAGTGGAGACAACAACGCTGTTACTGTAATGTCACAGTAACCTGATGGGTGATGGGGCCTCGCTCGCAGCCTGTGCTCCAGTTCACGCCAAAAGGTATTTGATGGATACACCAAACTCAGAAACCATCTGTTTGTGGATTTTACTTTGTGCATAGCGTTACTGTCATGTTGAAACAGGAAATGGCCTTCCCCAGACTGTTTCCACTTAGTTGGAAGCACACTGTTGTCTAAGACAGGCCTGTATACTGTAGTGTTAGGATGGCCCTCTATTAGAACAAAGGGCCCAACTCTTGGCATGAAAAACAGCCCCAGACCAAAAGCGCAACCAAGTACCGCAAAATTCAAGAATGGCCCTCTTTAAATAATAAGACTGGTCATCTACAGTATATTAACAGTATTTTAAAACACATCAGGGAAACACAGCACACACATATTTTAAAAATATTGTCCAAAAGGCTCCAAACGGCCATAACGTATTACAGCTTCTGAAGTAAGCAAGAGTTAAAAGCCCATGCACAAGATCTCTGCATATTAACAAATGTTAGGGTCTTGTGTTTCATAATCGTTTCCATGATGTATTTTTAAACAACAATGGAGGTCTATGGCACAGACGAACAAACCAATCCAGGACTGACAGACTGACAAACATCAACTGTGAGCAGAGACAAGCCATTGCTGGTTTTAGTCTCTGTTTGTGAAATGTTGAAAACACTGTCAATATGAAAAATGACTGGCCTTATCCTTTAGGTTAAACGGAGGCATCTTAACAAAACCCTTTACTGTAGAAAAGCCCCATTGTTGGGAAAAATGTTTATGAGCAACATAAAAAAAAAAAACAGTCCACTGAGCAATCAGCCAAAACGATAAGGCGAGAATGGAGAGCTGCAGAGTTACAGCAACACACACATAGTGTACCTTTAAACAATGGCAGAAAATGAAACCCATTAGTGTAAGCACCTTCAGTACACAAAGTCCACTAGTCCTTGAAACCATCAGCTGTAAGCTTATTACAAGTCCAGAGGAGGTAAAACAAAGGATTTGAAATCAGTCACTAAGAGCAAACGGTTCTTTCCTTCTATAAAACTGCTTCAATTTCAGGCATTTATCCAGACGTTTGCTCTTTACTTCATAATAAAAGACTTAGTCATTAATATAATGCATATCTACAGCTACAAATGTGTTTAAAGGCCAAAAAGTAAGAGAAAATTTATATTAGCTGCATTAATAAGTTGCTGCTTAAAGATGAATAAACCTCAGCCAAAATAAAATATGAAACCTCAAATCTTAGATAAAGATGGTCACAAAGTTCAATACATGGAAGAGTCTGTTGCAATAAACACTCACACAATCCACACTGACAGGAACTCACTGGGTTTTCTTTGGAAGCAGAGTCATTACAACTGATCCCTAATGAATTAGATAGGAAACTCCAATCACCACCTACTGCAGAGGACAACCTGACTGTAGTTTGTGAAGTTGTCTACAGTCCTGAGGAGCAATAAGCCTGTGACAACCAGCAGCTACATCTCATAGCAAAGTCTCTGGCACCAGCTCAGTCTGCCATGCACTGTTTGTTGGAGCCAGAGCCTGTAGCTCAAGGATTACTCTGCAACTGAATACCACTTATATTGTTGTTTTTCTTGTCAGATTTAAATGCCCCCTATTCAAAAGCCTTTACTCATACAGGACTTGCTAAGACCTTCCCAGGGCTCCTCCAAGCATCATAACCTATCACTTGCCTCTTTAGTTATCCCAGATTCAACTCTGAATAAGTGCGTCTGAGCACTTCAGGTTGGCCTGAATGCTATTTGGTTAACACAATAACCTTTGTGCAAAAAAGAAACTTAAAAGACCTCAGTGTGCTTCAGATCATCTCGGTTGGACCACAGCTGAAGGTAGAGGTGTTAAATGGCCAAACTCTCAAAAAGCTGGTTGCCTCTTGGATCTCTCTCCAAAAGTTCTATCTTTTGTTTGACTGTGTTGATTCCTCAAGAGAATTCTTCTTTTTCCTTGTACTCAGAAAACTGACTTAATACGTCCTGTGAAGAATGACCCTGCATTTCATTTTCTGCCTTGCCCCTTAGAGAGTGAACTGCATGCCAGTGCTGACACAGAGAAAACCAGTTCGGTAGCCTGAAAGTGTAAACCAAATGCTGCCCTGCGTTCCTGCGCATTGGAAAGGCTCTTTGCTTAGATTATAAAACTTTGCATGCAAACAAAGTAGGTTCCTCTAACATACCTGTTTCCACAGAAAGCTGTCCATGCCATTTAACATCCAAGAAACAGCCACGTGGATGGCGGAAAGAATAACTCCGGTAATGACTGCGGCGCGCATCCTGACGGGCAGCAGAGTGTAGATGACATGGATGAAGAATACGGTCCACCAAATCCCCTCTGAGGCACTTCTGGGCTGTACGAGCAGCACTCCGATCACCTGGATCACTAGCACCACCAGGATGACCACATAGCACACAATCCACATATGGTCCTGGTGAAACCCGGTCCTGTTGCAGACTACCATGAGTATGAGTGTGAGGAAGATGGCCAAGGAAAATATCACCACATAAGATACGTTCGGCCTCGTTGTCCCACCGGAGCAGTGGAAGCCCAGCATGACCGTGAAGACCAGCACCAGCACTGCCATCAGCATAGTCAAGCTGCTCTGGTTGAGACGGAAAAAGTAGCGCTGGTACAGCCGCTCCAACTTCTCCGACTGGAATTTCTTGGATTTGAAAATGTACATGACGCTGGTGCAACACGCCACTAAAGAAAAGTTAACTTCGGGCATGACCTCCTCCTCGTCGGCCTTCGGCTTGGCTTTCCGCTCCTCAAGACCCAGCTCCACAGATTTGGGTCTCACCTCGCCGTCTGGACGTTGAGGGGACGCGCGGTCTCGGTTCTCCTCGCCATGGTCCTGCCAAGCCGACCGGGACCTGAAGCTGACCCTGCTGACGGTCGTGGAGGCTCGCCCGAGCTGCCGGTGGTCCAGATCATCCTCTTCCCTCCACCGACTGTTGGTACGGATGGGTTTCTTGCGCGGGGATCTGGTCGAGTATGGGCATCCGTTGGCCACTGTCTCAGACTCTCCCCAAGCTGATCTGTGCTCGGTCCCTCCCCTCAGCCCAGGCGCACCGAGTCCGGGTGGGCTGACACTGTTTGATCTGGACATCGTGGAGAATGGGAGGCAGCAACAGAATGTGCCTAAACAATTCAACACTGCGGGAAAAGTTTTGTTCACTGAAGAATAATGTCAGGAAACTATTTAGTCCCAGAGATGAGGCGCAGTAAATGTCTGGTATAAGTTAAATGTCCCATTGTTGGTCACAATCGGAGTGAAGTTAGAGGCAAACATTCATTGGAAAATCAGCTAAATTAATAATCAGCGAAGGTCAAAAAGCTCTGGGAATAAAATCAATTGAAATGCGCAATGGTCACAGGAGAGGTTTGTCACGAGAGTAAGGAACATTTGATCCAGGTGGATTTGGTTCTACATCACTGGGCCCAATTAACTACCATCCATGGAGAGGTTTCACTGCAGCGTGCGCTGTAAGTGTAAAACCATTACACAACTCAAGATAAGCTAGTCCCCCGACAGCTCATAGCGCAACACCATCAGTTACAATGTGAATCCGTTATATCAGCATCGTTTCCTGTATTCTTTCTAACTGTTTGTGGGGGGCGAAGGTATAGGACAATAAAAAGGTAAATCCCATGTTGACGGTTCTTATTTGGTCCCACTGAGTCTCGTTGCACCTGTATTTACCAAGCATGGGGGCGGCTGTGGCTCAGGAGGTAGAGCGGGTCGTTTCCTAACCGGAGGATTAGCGGTTCGATTCCCGGCTTGTCCAGTCAACATGTCGAGGTGTCCTTGAGCAAGACACTGAACCCCCACTTGCTCCCGGTGATGTCACCGGTGTGTGAATGCGTGAGTGCTTGGGAGTGCGAATGGGTGAATGGCCGAATAATGTGAAAGGGCTTTGGGTGAGCTGTAAAAGCATAGAAAGGCGCTGTACCAGTATAAGACCATTTACCATAGCATCCTGGACGCTGGTGGGAGCCTCACGTTTGGCTGAAAAGCATCATCACGATTCTCGCACACTTGCGCTCATTGGAGCAGAGGAGAGAACAAAACTATTCCTCCTGTTGGAGCCACAAAAACAGCTCCTTGGTCCATGGTGTCGTCTGTGTTACCACACGGTCAGTTTATTGGAAACCTCTGCACCGAATCAATGTCAGATCGCTGTCAATCACTGCTGAAATCCCCACACTTGATTTGTAGCCACACTCTGCGCACAGCGAATCCGCGCAGTACAGACGCAGCATGTCATTAGGTGTCTTCCCGGAGCCAAAGTGTGTTCCTGAAGCCCCGGACAGTCCCTTCGGTGTCTGTTCGGAGCGTGGCATCATAACAATTTACTGCTGATTGCTGCTTTAATGACCATCCAACCAAGCGTGCTCTCTGCAGGCCGCCTCTCCGCCGCGCTTCTATTGGAAAGCAGAAGAGGCTGAGTCACGCTTTGACGCGCTTCCATTGGGCGACAGTCTGGTCAATCCACGACGGAGGCTGCGCGACCCCCGGGCGCTCTCAATGAATGGGGGCGGGTCTATGCTCACAGCTGGATAGCCCTCACTCACGCACACGCGCACACACACATCAGGGTCCCAAGATCCAGGCACCTGGGGCCCAACAACACAATGAGGATCATTTTTATACAGTCATGGTCCTTTCTCGAAACAGTTTGGCATGATGTTTATTGACAAACCAAGCAAGATGAAGATCATGGATTCTAGCAACTTGAAACTGGAACGTCTCACATGTAAGTTCTCATTGTGTGCTAACAAATGTAAATCAGAGGCCTGTGACAAGGAGCCTGGTGTGTTTGGCCCTTTTGGAATTTATCAGCGGTGAAACACTTAGCAGGAGAGAACAGGCGCTTCCATTCAGCACTGTCCTCGTCAACAAAAACCCAACTCAAGTAGAAATCAAATACAAATTTAGCTTGATTCAAGTTATGCAACTTCTTTTCTCTGCTAGTCTTATGACTTCTTGTTAGTGCTGCTTCCAGGTGTGAATGTGAACAGGGCGTCTCTGCAAAACGAAAGGCCGCCTCTCAGTGGACCTACCCTGAATAAACAAAGGTTTAAAAAATCACCTTGTGTCCTAGATCCTTGGCATGATTAAATCCTGGAAAAGGGTAAGAGCCACTATGGTGCTCTCGACTAAGGCCCTTAACCCCACCTGCTTCAGCTCCATGTAGGAATGTGCTTCCTGTAAAAGAGAGGTTGCCTCTCAGTGAGGCTAACTTCATTAAATAATGGTTAAAAAGAACAAATCACCAAACTGCTGACATTTACTGAGAGGAAAAGGACAGGGGGAAAGAAGCCCATTAAAAACACCCAGTTTTTGACAAACATTGAACAAGCATCAGACCTCAAAGATAAACCCTTTTCACTGTTCCACTGCATTGCACCATAACAATCACATGAACCACGTGGTGACATCTAAAATGGCATCAAGCATTCCAGATGTTCAGAAATGTTTGATCCAGTGGCTGAATGAGGTGAAGGTACAGAACAAGGTGTGAAGAATGATATATGACTGTATCCTGAGGCTAAGACCTGACCGGTGAAGGATCCTGGGTGTGGTGAGACAGATTCAGTCTAGATCAGTGCAGCTTTATTCTCTTGTTTTCTACAGAGAAGAAAATAAGTGTGGCAGTGTTGTGACTCACCCTGGTGGAGAGCGATCTTTACCGTCTCTGTGGATTGTACGACCAACCAAACAAACATACACAAACTCTATGCAACAAACACTTAACCGTGTACAGTTTGATCCAGTATCTAGATTAAAATAGTTCTATCTGTTCCTCAGACACGGTGGTGTAAGGAAGGTTGTGCTATGTTATGGGTAGGGTAACTGCAATGTGTTCCTAACACAATGTAACAAAACCTATCAAGTAAAAGAAACTGGTATGTGATGTCAACTCAGCTTCATAATCTTGTTTACTTCTTCTCTAATCAAATAGATTTTGATATGAGTGAAATGTTATATTCAGGTGTTGTTCTTGTGTAACAGTGTGTTGTGACATTACCATTTTACTTTATTCATTTACACTCAGACTTCTCATGACACTGTATATATACAGTATCATTTGAGCAGACTGGCAACGACAAAACGACTTGTTGGATTTTGTCCAGCTGCTCTTCAATGCACCTGAACCTGCCAACTAGTCTGGACCTGTAGATGCTTTAAAGGCTAGTCATATGATCTAAACAGCAGCACTCGTGCACATCCTGACGCGCATCAGCTTTATTTTCATGGTCAGGCAGTTTTAGGAAACTTTGGAGTCGCTTTGCATATGTGTCAGTATACAATATATAATAAGCCATAGATGAATATGCTTCCCATATTATAGATTTATTGTAAATATATACTCATTATTCATACCTGTACAAACTCAGTTGGCCCCATGCAAAACATTAGTATCAAAACTTTATTCACCAGAACCATATGTCATGCTTCTGTCCATCTCCCCCCTCCCTCCCCCATCCTTAAGTTGTAACACAGATCAACATTCCAGGCATCCAGGTTTGATCTTTCATGCAGTTTTACAATGAGCTGCAATTCTGCTCCTGCAAGACATTTCCAAAGGTTATCCCAAATCATGCTCAACCACTTATGAGAACAAGGAAAATAAGAGCACAAAGGCTAGATCTGACGTTACAGCCACCAGCGGCTCAATTTGCTACAGAATAAACCAGGTTTATGATCATGACGGCAAACAGAACTTGTATGTTTTGGAGGTATATTGATCAGTAATGTTGACACTGCTTAAAAGAAGCAAGTTGATGGATATTAGCTTCTGAGAGCACATTTTAAAGAACATGACAACAGCGACTGGGCTTTGAGGCGTCTGTTCACCCAGTTTACAAGAAAAAACATTATTTACTTTTGGTAGAATGATATTTAGACATACAGTGGTTCTGAGATATCTGTGAGAGTCACAACAGATCAGGGCTGATGAATAACTGTTTTTACACGGCCTGTCAGAAATACAGCAGTTGTAACAAATGTTGTTATCAATTACTGCATTACATGACATGTTCATTGCTTTTTAAGGGGTAGTATGACAACAACTGAGCCAGAGTACCAGCAACACTGATTCCAGAAAGAAATGTTGCTGTCAAACCTTTCATATGTCATTTTTCAGCACTGTGAGCATCTCAACTAATTTGCATTCCCCTCCAATGTGATAGAGGAAGAAATCCTAGAGAGGAGATCTCGAAATCTGGTCTAAAGAAACCAAACCTTTCACATGGCTTGATACCACCAGACGTACGTGGAAAAAACGGTCTCTGTAAACAGGGTGAACAGACCGTTTAAAGAGCAAGCAAAGCTAAAATCTTGCTTTTGCTGACCTCATGTGGTTGATGTTCTTGTTGTGTTACAATGGTGTAGAAATGTTCTCAGGACGGCAGAGGTGCAGCTGATCCCAACACAATCAGTTCAGGTTCACAACTCCAAAATATCACAAAGGTAACATTGTGGAACTATTCAGATTCACGGTTCTCACTCTGTACTGTACATTATTCAGTTCACCTCATTGAAAAGACATGATTACAAGCTCCCACATTTCCAGGGACTTCAGCTCACACAGCTCTAATAAATGAACGACCTCCAGGTTTATGTACCAAAGTATTGAAACATCACTTCAAATAAAAGTCCTCAAACATACAATATCATTTTGGGCTACAATGCGACTTTGTTTGTTACATATGAAAACGTTTTTCATCAGAAAACTGTTGCTACTGTGTGTTGTACTATGTTTTTGTAAGTCATGATGTTTTTAAGTTTTTCTAATAAAAGGTTTTTAACATCTCATTTACAAAACACAGACCTCTTTAATTAATAGGAGACAGGGTGAAGACCGAAGACTGTGAGCTTAATAAAACATGTTTTAATCTAGATGGCCTACAAAGTCATCTAGATTAAAACTTGAATTGAGCTAAAAATGCTAAACAGGAGTTCAACAGATAAAAGAACAGAAGTGCAATCACATGAGGAGAGTGGTGATGTGTGCTCGCTTGGAAACTAGAGGACTAGTGTCGCCCCCCATTTACTGGCTACTTCAGGTTAGTAGTGTATAAACCACCTAAACATTGAACAGTGAAGAAATCAAGACAAAATTCACAATCATCAAGGGGAACGCTGGGAACGCTGGGAACCTTATCCTTTTAAAAAGTCGACATAGTCAGTGTCACCACCAACTCAACTGGGAGGTCAAAGTGACATCTAAGCAGCAAACACAAGAGAAAAACATAGAAAACCATGCAAGTACAGAATGAAAAGGTTTATTGAACTAAATTAGGAATGCAATTAAATTTTGGACGGAAACAAATGAAAAACAAACAAACAAGCAAACAAACATACAAATCTGGACCACAGTCTGTACAAACAGTGTAGATGCAAAACCGCCAAATCACCTCGTTTCAGTACTGGTCAATATAGTTAATAAGGAAAACTGCTCCTTAAACGAGACCAAGAAACGGGCGACGTGGAGGTGCTGAGATCTTTTAGTGTCAATGAAAAGGAGGTCATCGATTCTATCGGCGCATTTCTGTTCTGAGCGGGTTCTGCTTGGACGGTAGCTCGACTGTATTCAAGCCAAAATACAGTTTTACAGCTACAAGCCCTCTGACTATACAAAGGTAACTGTGGTTTGGTCATAAATAAAAACAACAACAACACAAAAATACCACCATTCATGATTTGTGAGCATGTATACAACTCAGACAACAGCAGAAAAACAAAAGATAAAGCTGCTTGATTAATGGATCACGTGCCAGGTCAGCTGGTCAGGCTTTGTGTTTCAATAAGTGGACACTGGTTTTGTTCTTTTGTTGGTCGTTGTGGTTTGTGTTCCCCCCATCAGGCCTGTCTCAGTACTGTTCAGCTCACTCCACTTTGCTGTAATCCTCCGCGTGGCCCAGCACCTTCTTCCTCTGTCGGATCATGTGGAAGTAAAGCTGGGGGAAGACTGGGGGTGAGGGGGTGGGGTTAACAGAGGAAGATCAGTACGTAAATAAGCAACAAAAAACACAGGCTTCCTTTCGGTTCGATAGTTATCTCACACACACTCCTCACATGCACAGGCGGTGCATTTGTTTCTAGACGCAGTAGCTACAGTTAACATCTGCACAGATGGAACATTAACCCATGTTCAGGCTGACGGGCGCCGCACACAGGCAGCGTGTGATGTCAAACACCCACACCCATTATTTTCGATGGAAGCCCACACACCTGTGGCAAACTGATGCGTGTCATCCTGAAGTGTTGGCATGTATCAACAGCTTAGGCCAAATTTAACACACTGCAGTGGCCACAGTCATGCAAATAACACAAGGTAAAAATCCCTCTGTGTTTACTCTCAACATACTCTGACACCATCTTTACCTTTTCTCTAAATTATGATACGATACTGTCACTAAAAATGGGGAAATGTTAAATATGCTGGTTGACTCACGGGGAATGTAGGAGATCATGATGAGGATGAGGAAGGTGTAGTAGTCAAAAGAGAAGTTGTATTTGTTGGGGAGAGTGACGGAGTACAGGCCGGTCTTCTGCACATACGGCAGGGCTGCATAGATAGTCAGCAGTTCCCCAGTCACTCCCATGGGATACAGCACGATGAAAAAGGTGTACCTGCAACACAGGGAGTTGTGGAAGAGAGAAATAATAAATCACACAGCACAAGGGGTGGACGGTGTAGCTGGTAGAAACACCAAAACGCTGACCGAGATATTCATGATATGAATGTGGACAACTCACTGTATGATAACCGCTGAAGCTAACAACAGCATGAACATGCACGTGTGCTTTCCACTAAAACTAAAATTGTTCTACTAGGAAAATGAGGGTGGAGAACACAGTGCTCCAACCAATCTAAAAGAGACAGTTCTGGTTTCAGAAGTGTACATGGCAGCAACGCCAGAAACACTTTTCTCTCTTCAGGATGAAGTGGAGGAGCGTGGCCAATGTTTGTCAATGTGCTCAGGCTCTGACACAAGCAAAGATTCAAATACAACATTGCCTAAAACGCTGACAAACTGCTGTGGAAGCACACTAACACAACATAACTGCATTTCAGTAAACCATGGAGCCCGTTCTATCTGCTGTCAGTGGTGAAAAGGCTGCGTTCGCAGCTTCAAATCCCAAAGCACAAACAGCTGTTACAAGAAAGTGGATCATTATACACATGCCTACATCCCAAACTCCACATACTCAGAGATATAAACACTGGGCTCATACCATGTGCTGCTGCACGGTGATGTGTGTAAATAACAAGGATAAATGCTGCCTATGTTTTAATCATGAACTGCTGTGGGATCAAACCTTTGTCTGAGCCTTTACTGAATGTTCCACAGGTGCATGGCCAGTCTGCAGCTCAAACCCAAAGTCGATTACCAATATAGCAACAGTCTCATTTGCTACCCAGCAACCAACCCTGCAGGGAGACAGGCACTTAACAACAGTTGCCTTGGTTGTAGATGCAGATGAACCCCAGCACAAGGTTTTCAGTAGATTGTAATTGTTTGACCCAGCTCTGATCAAATGATCTAATGTCAACGTGATCGTTCATCCGTGTTTTCAGCACGTCGATTTACAGCCAGGATGAATGTCGAATGATTTCCCTACCTTGCCCATTTAATGAGGTATGGCAGGTGATTGAGCAGGCTGAAGGTGTAGAAAGAGTAGCGAATGATCTCTGTGATGGTCCAGGCGGTGACAAAGAGCAGCACGCTGTCCTCACTCTGCACCTGCAGGAACACACACAAAGGATGATGGGAGGAGAACAGTCTGCTGTAGGCTCAGCCATGCTGTTTGTTTGAGATGCTCAGAGATCAGATCACACTGCAGGCCTCATATCCTCAGACACTAGGTTAAAGCCAATGTGAATATGATGTTAAAAGCTAAGGCACGCCTCAGTTTCCACAAGCATTCACACACAAGGGAAATAGAGAAAAATGTCAGTACAGCATCAAACAACAGACAGAGAGAAAAGAAAACATCAAACATTAAAGATACATTATTCACTGTGTTAAAATTCAGCAGATTCATTCCTGCGTAAGAAGACCGTCTGATGTTACTTACCAGTTTACTCTGGTCCAGTCTATTAACAGGGCAAACAATACATCAGCTGGTCAATCCTCAACATACTGACACTACTGTGTCATTCATGCCAGGCCCGTTAGACAACCTGTATAAAGACGGGCTGATTTCTGTGTGTAGGTGATCGGAGAGAAACTCATCTTACCTCCCTGACGCTGTGTGTGATGGCCCAGGTGAGGAAGACCCGGGACATGACCTGGAACCCAGTCAGGACCACAGAGGATGGTACAATTCCTAGGATATGAAACCAGAAACAGACACTTAATAGAGATGAATTTCTTTAATTAACACATTTTCTAGTCTAACAGTGAGAACAGTACTGAGATGTTTAGATGCTGATGATAAATCAGTTTATTATCTGACCAGACAGGAAATCCAGTTTATCTTTTCATCTTCTCAAATGCTGCATTGTTTGTAGGAGTTTTAAACAGAGAAGTGAGGCTCTGTTTATGGGTAAACGTATTCGTCAGGCCTTTTGATGAGACACTGTGTGAGCTCTCAGACACACCCACACAAAAAGGCCACAGTCATAAATGTTGTCTTCCACTGGCCAGCAGAGAGGGACCTAGAGATCTGCCAGTGTGTGTGCACTCTGAGACGGCAGCAGCTGCAGGGAGCCTGTTTGCAGTGGGAAAGGTCAGCTATTTGTCTTCAAATCCCAGATAATGAAGAGAATGGACTGTGAACTGCAGCGAGGCGAGAGCCACTCTCTCCTCATCGCATTAACACCACAGCTCCCAGCAGCGTGTCCACTCTGTCTTTGGCAAACACTTCAAACATGAAACGCCTGTTTGTCTGTACATATTTACAGCTGAGACACATTTACAAAGCCAGTCAGGTGAGTCATAATTACAATGAGACCAGTCAAAATCATAGAATTTAAAGCATCAACTGCTGCTATCTGACTTGTCAGTGAGTTGAGATTTCTACACATTCTAACCGTCAAAACATTTAAGTTTGAGTCAAGTCGTATCACAATGATCGAAACGTATCTTATCTCATATCTTCAATGTATATTTGACAGGTCACTTTGTAGGAAGAGATAGTGTACCACAGTGCTAAATAGTAAAAAAGGTCCCCATTCTCAAGCAACCAGCATCAACACTAAGGTTTTTAAAAAAATTGAGAAGAGAAACTCACCTACAGCACAGTGCAGGATCTATGAAAGGAAAAGATCACAGACAGTGACTTGGTATACTTATTTTAACTCATCTGTATGGTTTGGTTATTATTTATCATGCCAATGTTTTATTAACTTATTATTAAGTTCCCTTTAATATTCTCAAGATATCAGTAAAAGCATTTTTCTGACACTAGAACAAAAACAAACCCTGCCTTCCTAAATAACGTGTTGTTTAATATAAGTTGTAAATTAAACCACTGACACTGTTAAGATTGACTAAATACCGCAGTGCATGTGGTGTTCAGTCTGTGCACAGGTTACATCTCCTGTCACAGACAAACAGTCAGCCTCTGCACCATGTGTATGTGTGTGTATGAGCACATGAGGAGGAACTGAACAAATGTATTGTATCCAGTTTTAAAACTTCATTTATTCTTATTACTTTGAAATCTTACAGAAACCTTTATAAAATACCCAAGTGTTCTTTTGGCTCTGTGCCTTTGACACAGCGTAGACGGACATGTTCGCTTGCCAGAGGACATACCAGACATTACAGATAACAGCTCTGGGACACTCTGGGCCTGAATCCAAGCCTCAGCCAGCTTTTACTGTCATGATAGTTTCTCTGGCAGTTTAAACAGGCTGAGATTAATAAGTAAACCAAAGTTTTAGTGATTCATTTATCTATTAAGCAGTGTGAACACCACAGCCCTCACTGTGGATGTCTGGAAATCATTAACTCTAGTTTACTGCTTGGACCACTGATCGTTGCATCTCCACCAATATGATCGAGCACTGAGGTCATCTGGTCATCTACTTTTAGAAGTCACCAGATCAAGATGTAGGTGATGGGGGTGATTGTGCATTCCACCTGAACTTGGCTCTGTCACTGACCTTGGACTCTTTAAATTCAAACTAAAGACTTCTCTGTTGTTCAAAGACAACTAAGATTGTATCAGTGAAACACACCGCTGCACTGGATGACATGTTTTGTTCATTACAAAGCCCTAGACCCGAGCGTGGGTAGCTAGCGTAACGTAAACAAAGCAGAGAGCTTACGCAAGATCTCATGCATGTGCGGTTGACCAACTTCCGGACATTATGGCCGCTCTGAGGCTTCGGGGAAACAAAGCTGGTTCTGGGGTTTTGTAATGAAAGAACATGTCACCCAGTGCAGTGGAGTCTCTCTGATGTGTTTTTAATCATTTTTAACAACAACAAAGGTTTTAGTTCCTGTATATTAGTACAGAAAAATAACCTGACTTATCCTTTAATGAAAAATGGTGATATCTGTCCTCATCTCACCTCCAGAATAGCTCCAGTCTGAAAGAACTTCAGAGGCTTCTCTATGGAGTAGTACAGTCCATGGTAGCTTCCTCTGGCCAGGTAAGCTCTGACCAGACCTACAGCTATCACC